TCCTGCACCTCTCTCTGTGCGTGGGTTCAAATCCTGACTCTGTCACAACTAGCTGTGTGAAGAAGGCAGGTTTCTTCACCTCTGCCTGTCTTCTTTCCTCCATGCCGTGGGGGCGATGGTATTTCTACTTCAACCTGCTGTGAGACTTCAGTGAGCTATTTGATTTTTGTGTTTTAGAATTTTTTTGAGAGAGAGATTTTTGCTATAGGGCGTATGCGCTCGCCAGACAGACAGAGAGAGACATAGAGACAGAAAGCGAGAAATCACCCCCCAGGGGGGATGGTCACGCCGCAATCCCTTCTCCTTCATTCTCCTCTCAGGATCTTGGGCACACACGCACACGCGCCCGGCATGAGTTTTAAGCCACCAGGTCTGGGACGCGAACCACGGTCAACTACGTGGGAGTCCAGCGACATAGCCATTATACTAACTGCTGGTTCCCTAGAATTATTTATTTTTGACGGGACCAGCAGTTGGCGTAATGGCTATGTCACTGGACTTCCACATAGGCGACTTGAGTCCCGGACCCGGTGGCTTAAACTCACACCAGGCGTGTGTGCATGTGTGCCCAGAATCCCAAGAGGAGAATGAAGAAGGGATTGTGCTGTAGCCATCCCCTCTTGGGGGGTGATTTCTCACTTTCTGTCTCTCTGTCTCTCTATGTCTTTCTGGCAAGTGCGTGCACACGCCCTGTAGCAAAAATCTCTCCAAAAGATTTATTTTGGGGACCAGCAGATGGTGTCATGGTTACATCCCTGGACTCCCATGTAGTCGACTGCAGTAGGAATTCATGATTCGGAGGCTTAAAACTCACGCCAGGCACAAGTGCATGCATGCCCAAGATCCCACAAGGAGAATGAAGGAGAAGGGATTGCAGCGTGGCCATCCCCGCTGGGGGATGATTTCTCACTTTCTGTCTCTCTGGTGAGCACATATCCCTATAGCAAAAATCTCTCTAAAAATTTTATTAGTTTTTAAATTATTATTATTACTTTTTAATAGGCTACAGGGCATATCTGCTCACCAGAAAGAGACAGAAAGAGAAAGTAAGCTGCCAAGCCCAGGATTTGAACCACAGTCAGCCATGTAAGAGTCCAGCAACCTAGCCACCATGCCACCAGCTGGGCCCACGAGCTAATAGTGGTAAAGTCCTTAACACACAGGATGTATCCTATGGACATGAGCCGCTGTGGGTGTACACGTGACTCTCATGGTCTCTGCAGCAGCCATGACGATGCAGAGCAGCCCCTGGAAGGCTCTGGTTTCTGAGTCGCCTCATCTCCCAGCCCTGGACTAACCTTGACCCCTTCCTGTCCCCAGGACTACGTCCCTATGGAGGGCGAGCTGTTGTTCCAACCAGGGGAGACCTGGAAGGAGCTGCAGGTGAAGATCCTGGAGCTACAGGAGGTGGACTCCCTCCTCCGGGGCCGCCAGGTCCGCCGCTTCCACGTCCAACTCAACAACCCCAAGTTTGGGGCCCGCCTGGGCCAACCCCACTCAGCCACCGTCATCATCGGGGAACAAGGTGAGCATAACCAGGAGTCGGTGGAGAGGGAGTCGGGCCAGCGGATGGTGCCTCACCTGCAATACAAACACAGGACCCCCAGCTAAATGTGAATGTCCAGGCAATATTTGGGACATACTTATCTTTTTAAAAAGTACTTGTGGGCCAGCTAGGTGGTGTGGTGGTCTCACATGGCCAGCTCTGCAATTCCATCCCAGACCTAGCGGCTCGAAAAACCTGCTGGGCACAGGGGCCTGCGTACCCAAACTCCCGAGAGGAGAGCGAAGAAGGGACTGCGGCATGGCCATTCCCCCGGGGAGTGATTTCTCGCTTTCTGTTTCTCTGTCTCTCTGTCTTTCTGTCAAGCTCATGCACCCTACAGCAAAAACATCTGAAAATAAAAAAAAAAAAGGAAAGTATGTCCCAAACACAGCTGTTAAAAACACTGGCAGGGACTCCTGGGCTCATATCAATATCAGAAGTCGGCAGTTGGCCTGGCCTTAGATTCAAGGCTAACCTCAATGACACCCATGGAAAGAATGCTGAGAGAAGCCCTCAGGTGCATGAAATGAGAAAAGATTGCTAAACAAATCTTGTTCTGTCTTTCTCATTTTATTATTTGTTTTGTTTTTAGGAGTTTTGAGAGTGAAATGACAACACCCGGGAATTCAGCGAGTGGCACTGTCCCAGCACAGCCTTTGAGAGGCCCTAATACCATGCAGCCTGCCAAAAAAGTAGTTCTCAGGAGGATTTCTTCTTTCATGGGCCCTACGCAAAGATTTTTCATAAGGGAATCGAAGGTTTTGGGAGTAAGTCGGTTGCTCTCCATTCCATACCCTGGGTATCCTCTGCCCTTCAGAAGTTGATGCTGTAGGCTTGGTACTGAATTCAATCCAGCTGAAGGGGTGTGATCCAACCTGAGGGGTCTTTATGCCTTGCACAGAGGGCCAAATCAAGTGTATTAGAGACGTTACCACCTGGATCACCTCAGGGCAGTCTTATGTCACCTTTTGGTTGGGGAACTTATATTCATTCATTCCCAGAATCCTAGATATTAATTTGGTCTTTGGAAATGCCCCCATGTGGTAAGGAAAATAAATTTGAAGAAAAGAAAGATAAAATTCTTGGTTGGCCCCAATAGCATAGTAGTAATGAAATATTTCATTAATGAAGCAACATGGGAAGGTCCTGGGTTCATGTCCCAAGGTATCTCTGAACACATTGGACACATGCCCTCTCTCTTTGTCTATCTTTCTCTCATGAAAGAAATTTAAAAATAATTCTTGGCATCTCTACTACTTGTTTAGGCATTTTGCACAGCTCGAAGTCAGAAGCCAGGGCTTCCAATTTTTGCCTTATGATAACGATTATTTCAGTTCATCCATCAGTGTCCCCTTTCTCTGCCTAGGCTGTCCAGATCATGAATGGGATTTTCCACATCGCCCTGGGGGGTATCCTAATGATCCCCATGGGACCTTATGCTCCCATCTGTGTGACTGTGTGGTACCCTCTCTGGGGAGGCATAATGGTGAGTAAAAAATACCAACCATTGAGAATTAGGTGCAAACATGCTAAACACTTCCGCAGAGATATGTCAGATTGTCTCTGTGTTGAAGAGAATATATGGGTAAGAAATAGGCTGTTGGGTTAAAAACAATGAAGTGGGAAGAGATATTATCTAAACATAGCATAAATCCCATGACTGACAGTAGTCAAGCTTCAGGAAAATTCAGACAAAGAAGCTCTGCATGGAATCTACACCGAGAAGACTGTTCAGTGGAGGGCCTTTCTACAGTCAGCTTTGGTGGGAGGGAGGCAGCAGACATTTGGACTGTCTGGCATGGTGATGTGGATACAGGGGGTGGACCCCCCCCTCCGGGGCCGCCAGGTCCGCCGCTTCCACGTCCAACTCAACAACCCCAAGTTTGGGGCCCGCCTGGGCCAACCCCACTCAGCCACCGTCATCATCGGGGAACAAGGTGAGCATAACCAGGAGTCGGTGGAGAGGGAGTCGGGCCAGCGGATGGTGCCTCACCTGCAATACAAACACAGGACCCCCAGCTAAATGTGAATGTCCAGGCAATATTTGGGACATACTTATCTTTTTAAAAAGTACTTGTGGGCCAGCTAGGTGGTGTGGTGGTCTCACATGGCCAGCTCTGCAATTCCATCCCAGACCTAGCGGCTCCCAAAATCTTTCCCTCTGTCTCTCCAGTGAGCGCACACACCTACAGTAAATGTTTAGAAACCGCACTGTTGCTTATGTGACACTCATTCACCTAGGCATGCTCCCTGCTCTCAGCCAGTGGGAGGCCCGCGGCCACACAGCTAAATCCCCCCATCAGCCCCTCTACCCAGCAGCCTCAGCACAGCTAAGTGCCAGCTGCCTGGAAGCCCAGCGCTAGTTCGTTCTTATCAGTCCTTCGCTTCCAGGGTGGGGGTGTCTGTGACCCCAGCCCTGACGGGAGGCCTGCCTAGAGGAGAGGATGGAGAGCTATCCTGAGGCCCTCCTGGGCCCTCCATCAGGCTTGGCATGATGCCCTATGCAGCACCAGTGGGTACCAGGTCAGTGGCCAGCTCTCAGCTGGTGCGCTGGGCAAGGGAGCCTTGGGCGTTTAACTGGGTCCCTGGCGCCCCCTGGTGGTGACGGGGCGTCTGAGCCGGCCGTCTGCTCTGACTTGCCCTAGATGAACTGGATGGGAACTGCATGAATCACACCGTGTCATCATCCCCACCTCCCCGCGGTGACCTGGGCGCTCCACAGGACCCCAATGCCAAGGCTGCCGGGTCCCGGAAGATCCATTTCAACTGGCTGCCGCCTCCGGGCAAGCCACTGGGGTACAGGGTAAGGTGGGCGGGAGCGTGCTGATCCCTGCATGGGGAGGTCGGCCACCAGTCCAGAGACCGGAGGAGCGTCCGAGCGCCAGTGGGCAGAGGAAACCGAGTCTGTGTCCAGGAGGGAAGACCTTGGCTGAATTTTGCAGACTTTTGCCCTCTTTCCCGGAATGTCCTCCCACCCCCCAGCACCAGGGACCGCTGCCCTGCCCCAGCCCCGCTGTGAGCCTGGCAGGTCACTCAGCCGCCCGGGAGCTCAGTGTCTCATCTGGGCAAAGGGACAGCGGGGCAGGGGTCCACGGAAGGACAGGCGGCTCTGGCGCTCCCCCACCCACCAGCCCCCTCCCCTGGCGCAGGTGAAGTACTGGATCCAGGGAGACTCGGAGTCGGAGGCCCACCTGCTGGACAGCAAGGTGCCCTCGGTGGAGCTCACCAACCTGTACCCCTACTGCGACTACGAGATGAAGGTGTGCGCCTACGGGGCGCAGGGCGAGGGGCCCTACAGCTCCCTGGTGTCCTGCCGCCCCCACCAGGAAGGTGAGGCCTCACCGAGTCCGTCTGCCGCCCAGACGCCCAGCCCTCCCCCACCTCCCGGACCTGACGGCACTGCTCCTGCCTTCCTTACCCCAGTACCCAGCGAGCCGGGGCGTCTGGCCTTCAATGTCGTCTCCTCCACGGTGACCCAGCTGAGCTGGGCCGAGCCGGCTGAGACCAACGGAGAGATCACAGCCTACGAGGTCTGCTACGGCCTGGTCAACGAGGACAACCGTGAGCACCGGGCCCGCCCGCCCCAGGGACAGCAGCGTGGCTGTGGAGGGGAGAGGGAGGGAGCGCCCGGGCTCTGGGCCACCCCTGGCCCTGCTCTGTAGGGCAGTCAGGCGTGTTGTCCTGGTCAGTGGATAGGCCTGAGTCATCGTTAGGTTTTGTGCCGATTTGGGCTGGGCCACGTTCCACGGCCGGGCCCAGAAGCCCACGGGGTGAGGGGCTTGTCTGTGTGCAGTGGGGCCACAGCCCTGGGTGCCTCCCACACAGGACACCAGAGTGGCTTGCTTTTACATGGTTCCTCTAGGGCCAGGGTAGAGGTGTCAGACTTAGCAAGTAAAAATACAAGATGTCCTAAATTTCAGATAAGCCTTTAAAAAAATACTATTTTGAATTTGCTATAAGGCACATGTCGCCAGACAGGTAAAGAGAAAGCAAGCCACCAACCCGGGACTCGAACCGAGGTTGGCCATATGTGAGTCCAGCACCTTAACCACCATGCCACCTGCCAGCCCCCTAGATAAGCCTTTTTTAAAAAAGGAATATTCCGTGCAATTTTTTACCTGGCAGCCCTAGGCCAGGGCGCCTGCAAACCATTATTTCTTACCAGTCCTGGAATGAGACAATACGGGGTGACCCCTGCCGACTGTTGAGATGGGAAAGTGCTTGATGACAACCCGCCCCTGCCCCGGCCCCTGGTGCAGGCACCTCCACACACCCCGCCTCTGCTTGGTCAGCCCCAGTGAAGAACTCGCCACCCCCAGATGACCTGTACACCCAATCGCGGTCAGACCCAGCACTCCTGGGTGACCTGGTGGGGCAGAGGACAGCAGGACAGTTCTGGGCGTCGGCCGGGCGGCTGCTGTTACTCGTTAGGATCCAGGCCACCAAGCTCCAACCCCGGCAGCTGTGGCACGCCACGTCTTCCCGGAGCTTACATCCAGTCCACACCTGGGGGGTCTCCTCTGACTGGGGCATTTTTTAAAAATTTTATTCATCTTTTTTTTTTTTTTTTTAATTTGACCAGAGAGAGAGAGAGGGAAAGTGAGAAAGCAAGCTGCCAGGTCCTGGACTCAAACTGCAGTCAGCCACGCGGGAGTCCAGTGCCCTTATCCACCACGCCACCTGCCAGCCCCCTAACTGGGTCTTTTCCAGAGAGTGCCATGTATTCCAGGGCACCCTGACGGTTTCAGCCATGGCTTTGGCCTGCTGAGGCCTTGGCCGTGTCACGGAATGTGCCAGGCAGAAGCAGGGAGCAGGGGGTGGGCCAAGGACAGCCCCAGAGTAGCTGTCAGAGGACCCCTCCCCCTCCGAGGCCAGCCTCCATCAGCTGACACTTTTCTGTTTTTGCCATAGATCACGCACACTGGCCGGAGAGAGACAGAGAGGGAAAGCGAGAAATCACCCCGCAGGGGAACGGCCACGCCGCAATCCGTTCTCCTCCATTCAGAGGGATAGAAAGTGAGAAATCACCCTGCAGGGGAACGGCCATGCCGCAATCCCTTCTCATTCTCAGGATTTTGGACACGCACACACACATGCACCTGGCATATTTTTCAAGCGACAGGATCCAGGACTCGAACTGCACAGCTGGCCGTGTGAGATCCAGACATCCTAACTTCCACGCCACCTGCTGGCCCGAAACGTTTCATTTTTTTCTAAGTTTATTTTACTTATCTATTTCACCAGAGAGAGACCTTCGGCAAGGTCTTGCCATGTTCCAATCCTCCCCGTCTCCCAGTCAGCCAGGGTCACGGGTGCAGGCAGGCGTGCCTGATGTGTTCAGGCCGACCAGGGCCCAAACCTCGGTCTCCGGTGTGGCTCCAGCATCCCAGGGCAGGGCCTGAGCCTGCACAGCTGGGCCCAGTCACAGGTTTGAACAGTTGTCCCTAGCAGTGGACAGCAAGCTTCTTGGCCTTCCTATTCCAGAATTCTGTTTTGGTCCTCTTTGGGGACTTGGGCATGTTCTGGTCTCCATTCTTGGTCCCCAGAGTCTCCCAGCATGGGGGGCTCCTGTAACTTCACTCAGAACTCAGGAACTCAGCTGAGAACTGCGGCCCCTGCTCTCTGCTAATGCGGCCCCGCTTCCTCGCGCCTCCACCAGCTCCCTCAGGCTGCACTCCGCCCTGTCCTGAGCTTCCAACAGCCTCAGTCCTCCTGAACCTCACCCTCCGGGGTGCCCTTCTCTCCTCCCAGCCTGGCTCACATGGCCACAGCACGCCCAAGGGTTTCCACAACAGACCCTTGGGGGGTTGGCTGGCTACAGTGGGGAGGGCGCCATCCCTCCCAAGAGCATCCTCGCCTTGTGCGGGGGTGTCAGGACTTGAGCCCAGTCCTGGCTCTGCCTTACTTAGGTGTGAGTCCTTTGGAGAGTGGTGGTGACCGTCAGGAGCCACCCCAGGACCCGCAGGTGACTGGAGCTCAGCTGCCTGCCCCAGCCTTGCCCCGGATATGTCCAGAGGTTGTGTGGTCCCACTATGTCAGGCGGGGCTGGGACCAGGCTGGAACCCGGTGACCCCTCTGTCACTCTCCCTGCCCCAGGACCCATCGGGCCCATGAAGAAGGTGCTGGTGGATAGCCCCAAGAATCGGATGCTTCTCATCGAGAACCTGCGGGAATCCCAGCCCTACCGCTACACCGTGAAGGCGCGCAACGGGGCAGGCTGGGGGCCTGAGCGCGAGGCCATCATCAACCTGGCCACGCAGCCCAAGCGGCCCATGTCCAGTGAGTGGTGGGCGGGGGGTGCACGGCAGGCGGGGAGGGAGGTGGGCACGGCTGGCTCTGGCTCACCCCTCCCACCCTGCAGTCCCCATCATCCCCGACATCCCCATCGTGGACGCCCAGAGCGGGGAGGACTACGAGAGCTTTCTCATGTACAGCGATGAGGTGCTTCGCTCCCCGGCCGGCAGCCAGAGGCCCAGCGTCTCTGATGACACTGGTGAGTGGGCCTGGGGTCCACGGGAGGCAGGAGGGGTCCTGAGTATGGAGAGGAGCTGTCACTGGTGCCCAGGGAGAGCCAAGGGGCCAGTGACGGTTGGACATGGAGGACGAAACTGGAAATCCTCTCTATGTCCTCCCCACAATGGGGTACTGGTCACACTGAAGGGACAAAGCTGACGTGGCCCACGCAGTCACGTGCACGTCATCCACGTGAGGGCACACGGCCACACCGTGTGTGGGGGGTGGACGCACACAGGCTCGCGCAGGTACACACAGGGCCACGGCCACCTGGGACTCAGCTTCACCCCATGATGGCTTACCAGCTTGCTCTGGGGACAGGCCAGGAGAGGAGGCAGGCCCGGTGCAGGAGCCCTGAGCAGCCTCCTGGCAGGGCTGGGGGAGCCAGGGGCACCCCACTTGATTCCTGGCTCGGCATGGTGCAGACAGCCCCTAGCTGCCCACCTGAGAACCAAGTTGGCTCTGGCCCTCCCGTGCGTGATGTGTCAGGGAAATCACACTCTCTGTTTCTTTTTTTCCTTTTTTATTTTTTAAGAATTATTTTATTTAACTTTATTTATTTATTTATTTATTTTTGACCAGAGAAGGACAGAGTGAGAGAGAGAGAGAGAGTGATAGAAAGTGATAGAGGGAAAGTGAGAAACCAAGCCGCCAGGTCTGAGACTCAAACCATGGTTGGCCACATGGGAGTCCAGTGCCCCTAACCACCACGCCACCTGCCGGCCCCTCTGGGTGTTTTCATCTGTGAAATGGGATGCCAGTCCCACAAGGCCAGCCTGCCAAGTCCCCTGGGGCACATAATCTCTACTTCCCTTATCCCTGTCTATGCCTGGGGCCCCCAGCGGAAGCTCGCCCCACCAGCCCAGCTTGGGCCTAAGGCACGGTTCTGAGGGTGCCAGGAAAGAACAGCTGAGCCAGCGGCCCCAGAGGCTCTGCGGCTTCTGGAACTGTCTGTGAGGCAGGAGTGACATTGCTCTCTGGGCGGACGGATGGGAAACTGAGCCCCAGCGCATCTAAGTGACCTGTGGGAACCCTCCCGGCTGGTGACAGCCCAGGCTGCCGCCAGTCTCCTGGTTGGTTCCCAGGCCTTTCCTTCCCGTCTGCGCCCAGGAAGGGCTGGACCCCAGTCTCACTGCGGCTTCTGGAACTGTCTGTGAGGCAGGAGTGACATTGCTCTCTGGGCGGACGGATGGGAAACTGAGCCCCAGCGCATCTAAGTGACCTGTGGGAACCCTCCCGGCTGGTGACAGCCCAGGCTGCCGCCAGTCTCCTGGTTGGTTCCCAGGCCTTTCCTTCCCGTCTGCGCCCAGGAAGGGCTGGACCCCAGTCTCACCTGAAGCCTAAAGCCCCCCCCCCCCCCTGCCCGCCCCCGCGGCTGGGGTCGGGAGCCAGAGGACCAGGATCTCACCTGTCCCGGCCCCTCCCACGCCCTCGGATCCCGCCGGGGCTCAGCCTCCTTCTGCCCCGTCCTGCTCCGCGCAGCCGCCGGCCGCCGCACCCCAGCGGTGCCAACGCGGCCCTTCGTTGTCCCCAAGGCGGTAGCTGGAAGTTCGAGCCCTTGCTGGGGTCGGAGTTGGACCTGCGGCGCGTCACGTGGCGGCTGCCCCCGGAGCTCATCCCGCGCCTGTCCGTC